GGAGAGCAAAGGGCCAGGCCCAGGCTGCAGCTGGGCAAAGAGCACTGCTGGTGGCCTTGGCTGAGGGAGGCAAGAGTCCAGCAGATTGTGCCTCCCCTTGGTGACAAGCTGCTACAGCTGCTTGGCTGGATGGTGTTAATGCCCCCAGAGAAGCCTCTGGAGCAGAGAAGATATGAAAGGAGCTCGTTAGCTCATCATCCCTAACGTGGAGCAGTGCCCTGTCCTCTCAGCTGGGCCAGCAGGGAAGGGGCTCTGCCCTGGAGGCAGCATGTCTGGGGTCCCTCTGTCCCCTCCTCAGTGACACAGAGTGGTCAGGGTTGGAGGGGCCTCTGGGGATCATCCAGTCCAAGCCCCTGCCAGAGCAGGGTCACCTCCAGCAGACCCCACAGGAACAGATCCAGATGGGTTTGGGATGTTCCAGAGCAGGAGACTCCACAGCCTCCCTGGGCAGCCTGGCCTTGTAACTTCAATGAAGTTACAAGTGATGGGACCAGAGGAAATTGCCTCAAGTTGCTCCTGGGAAAGTTTAGATTGAGAGTTGGGGAGAATATCTTCAGTGGAAGGGTTGTCAGGAACAGGCTGCCCAGGGCAGGGGTGGAGTCCCCATCCCTGAGGGGTTTAAGAGTTGTGTAGACATAGTACTGAGGGAGATGGGTTAGTTAAGAGCTGGTCAGTGTTAGGTTGATGGCTGCACTTGGAGATCTTAAGGTCATTTCCAACCAAGGTAATTCTGTGATTCTGTGTGATTCTGTCCCAGGGCTCTGTTACCCTCACAGTAAAGAAGTTTTTCCTCCTAACTCTGCTGTCACCTCTGCAGGAGGTTCTTCAAGTCCCCCAACTTCGATGGCTGGTACCGCCAGAGGCACAAGGAGATGACCCAGAAGCTGGAGGCCCTTCACTTGGAGGCCATCTGTGAGGCAGTAGGTTCCAGCTGCAGGTGTTCCAGCTGCAGGTGTTCCAGCTACAGGTGTTCCAGCCAGAGCCAGGCTCCTCAGGCCTGGGAAAGGGAGATGGGGACACCACCACCTTGGTGTCTCAGCCCTGCACTGATGGGGACACGGAGCTTTTTGCCCTGGGGGCTCACAGCTCTGCCCTGTGTCAGTGCCCAGGAGCAGCAGCACAGCTGGGGGACAGGAGCCCCAGCAGCTCAGTCCCCCAACTTTGTCAGCTAGTGCAGGTCCTGCTCTGCTGCTTCTGTCAACTGTTTTTCACTCATCAGGCCCTTCCCAAGCCAACAGTGTGCCAGGCTGGAAGTGTCACCTGGTGCTGGCTTCCTTCATCATATAGAATCATGGAATGGGTGGGTTGGAAGGGACCTCAAAGCCCACCCAGTCCCACCCCTGCATGGGCAGGGACACCTCCCAGCAGCCCAGGCTGCTCCAAGCCCCATCCAACCTGCCCTTCAACACCCCCAGGGATGGGGCAGCCACAGCTTCTCTGGGCAACCTGGGCCAGGCTCTCCCCACCCTCTTAGTGGAATTTCCTCTAAATGTCTAAAGAAAAGAGGTATGAATTGCCCTGTTAACTGCTGGTGCAGTTGCTTCAGGAGGTCCTAGGAGCTCTGGTGTCCTCCCCAGGTGCATCTGCAGCTGCAGTTCCTGCCTCTGGGGAGCAGGGCAGGTCCTCAACAAGCTGTGGGCAAGGCCAAAGCTGCCTCCTTTGTCAACAGGCCTGGCTGACAAAGAGATGTAAACTCTGAGCACAGCACGAGGTTCATGGTGCTGGCAGGAGGAGGGGAGCTCAGCACTGCCTCTGCTCCTGCAGCTTCCCTTGGCTCTCCTCTTGCAGGCAAGAGCTTGATGTTCTCCTGGGCAGAAAAGTGGGGAGAGCTGGGGCAGGGCTGGCTTGGCCGTTCAGGCTGTGAGCAGAGTTGGGGAAAAGGAAGAGAAACCTCCTTCCTTTTATTTCAGGCTTTGCTTAGGGGTGTCTCTTTGAGAAAAGCTTCTGTAAATATGCAGTGTTCCTGAGGAAAGCTGTTCTCTCTCTTCAGGACATTGTGGCCTGGATGAAGGACAAGTCTGAGGTGGAGATTGTAGATCTGGTGCTAAAACTGCGTGAGAAGCTGGTGAGTTTTCCACCCTTCTTCCTGCCCTGATCCCTGTGTGTCAGGGAGAGACCAGGGACAGGGACTGCACTTGTTGCTTAGAAAAACTGTTCTTGCCTCCTGATGTGGAGAACTGGCAGGTGGGTCAGTCATGACACTTGAGTGCTTGGTCTCTTCTCTCCAGGAACAAGGGACAGGACAAGAGGGAACGGCCTCAAGTTGTGCCAGGGGAGGTTGAGGTTGGATCTGGGGAACAATTCCTGCCTGGCAAGGGTTGTCAGGGCCTGGCCCAGGCTGCCCAGGGCAGGGGGGGAGTCCCCATCCCTGGGGGGGTTTCTAGGCCCTGGAGATGTCCTGGTGGCCCCTGACTTTTGGTCTTTTCCAACCAAAAAGTTTCTGTGATTCTGTGAAAAGGATTCAAAGTTCTGACTCTTCTCAGCTCCCTGGGGCTCAGGTGACAAGTTTCCTGTCACCCCACAAGTTTGCTCACTCAGCAGTGAAGCAGAAAGAGGAACTTGGGAGCTCTTGTTAAGTCTCTGCTTTTCTCCTCTCTCCCCCTGCAGGTCAGAGCCCGGTGCCAGCACCTCCCGGTGAAGGAGGAAACTCTGCAGAGGGTGGGTCTGTACATCGAGACCATCATTGGCTCCTTGCCCGAGGATCTCCAGGCTGTGCTGCACCACCACTGAGCAGGGGCTCAGGGCTCTGCTGGAGAAGGAAGGTTCCTCCCCACCCTGCTCTGAGCTGGGGGCAGTTGTGTTTGGAAAGGAAAGTTCTCCCCTGATCCAGCCAGCACAACCTGACCTGGGCTTTGCTCACAGCTCAGGGTGGTTTTGAGCACGTGAGGGTCAGAGCTGTGGCAGGAGCAGGGACCTGCCTGCTCTGCTCTGGCTGGTCCTGCTGTGGGGAGCTGGGTCAGGGAGAACCTGTTCCCCCTGGGGCTGTTAGTGAGTCAGGAAGTGTCAGCCAGGCTTCCAGCTGCATGTGCCAGGCTGTGCCAAGCCTGTGGTGCCCATATATACCCACCCCCATCTTCATCTAGTGCTTGGGCTCCCAACATTCCGTTGCCATCATCCTGCCTGGGAGCAGCAGGACCAGCCCTGAGGGGGGGCAGTTGTTTCAGGGCAGCTCCTGGTGGGAAACGGCCTCAAGTTGTGCCAGGGGAGGTTGAGGTTGGATCTGGGGAACAATTCCTGCCTGGCAAGGGTTGTCAGGGCCTGGCCCAGGCTGCCCAGGGCAGGGGGGGAGTCCCCATCCCTGGGGGGGTTTCTAGGCCCTGGAGATGTCCTGGTGGCCCCTGACTTTTGGTCTTTTCCAACCAAAAAGTTTCTGTGATTCTGTGAAAAGGATTCAAAGTTCTGACTCTTCTCAGCTCCCTGGGGCTCAGGTGACAAGTTTCCTGTCACCCCACAAGTTTGCTCACTCAGCAGTGAAGCAGAAAGAGGAACTTGGGAGCTCTTGTTAAGTCTCTGCTTTTCTCCTCTCTCCCCCTGCAGGTCAGAGCCCGGTGCCAGCACCTCCCGGTGAAGGAGGAAACTCTGCAGAGGGTGGGTCTGTACATCGAGACCATCATTGGCTCCTTGCCCGAGGATCTCCAGGCTGTGCTGCACCACCACTGAGCAGGGGCTCAGGGCTCTGCTGGAGAAGGAAGGTTCCTCCCCACCCTGCTCTGAGCTGGGGGCAGTTGTGTTTGGAAAGGAAAGTTCTCCCCTGATCCAGCCAGCACAACCTGACCTGGGCTTTGCTCACAGCTCAGGGTGGTTTTGAGCACGTGAGGGTCAGAGCTGTGGCAGGAGCAGGGACCTGCCTGCTCTGCTCTGGCTGGTCCTGCTGTGGGGAGCTGGGTCAGGGAGAACCTGTTCCCCCTGGGGCTGTTAGTGAGTCAGGAAGTGTCAGCCAGGCTTCCAGCTGCATGTGCCAGGCTGTGCCAAGCCTGTGGTGCCCATATATACCCACCCCCATCTTCATCTAGTGCTTGGGCTCCCAACATTCCATTGCCATCATCCTGCCTGGGAGCAGCAGGACCAGCCCTGAGGGGGGGCAGTTGTTTCAGGGCAGCTCCTGGTGGGAACGAGGCAGATTCTGCTCCCCCACATACAAATGATGTGGAAAGAAATGGTCACTGCCCATTCCCAGCCTGACTCAGGCCAGCAAGAGCTTCAGCTGTGGTGGCAGTGGGAGGATGAGCTGCTGGGTGTGCTGCTGTTGGCTTGTTCCCCACGGCAGTGGCAGAGAAGCAGGGGCTGGTGCCTGCAGGGGGAGCAGAGCTCTCCAGAGGCTGCTGTGGGAATGGCAGGAGCTGCTGGAGCTCTGCAAGGAGGAGCTGGCCTCCAAATGTCATTGATTCTGCTTCCAAAACCAAGTTTGTGTGCTCTGATGATGCACAGGAGAGCTGGAGCTCTGCCTGGGGCAAGGAGATGGCTAAAGCAGCCAGCCCACTTGCTGACAGAAGGTGTAGAAGGTGCAGCCTGTGTGGGCTCTGCCCAGTGGGAGCTCCCAGAGCAGCCCTCAGTGTCCCCAACCTCCCCAGCTCCCACCATGACTTGTTCTCCCCACAGCCCAGCTTCCAGCTTGGCCATTCTGTTCCCACTCACCTCTTGGGAAAGGGAGAGACATGTGGGGTGCTGGGCTGCAGCTGAGGGGGGCTGGGGGCTCTGAGGCCACCTCTGGAGGCAGCTGAGCTGTGCCTGAGCCAGCAGGCTCTGCCCAGAGCCTTGGAAAGGGCATTAGAGTTACGTGCTGCTGCTGTAGCTGCATCTCACCACCTGCCAGCCTGGCCAGGGCCTGGATGTTTGCCTTAAGAATGGGATGGAGGATGGATCTGGCAGCCTGATGCTCCAGAGGAAGCCCTGGAATGTTCCTTGGCAGCTGGCAAAGTTCAGCATCCCAGCCCAGCCCTGCAGGGAGCTGGGGGCAGTGCTGGGGGGTGGGAGCTGTGCTGCTCCCCTGGCATCCCCAGGGCTGGGGGGAGCCTGGGGTGGCCAAGTGAGGAGGCAGAGCTGCAGCTCCTGCTCCTGGGCATCCTGGGCAGCTCTTGGTGCAGCCCTGGCTGTGTGTGCTCTGTGAACAGGGGGAAGTGTCTGTGCAGAGGCTGGTGGAACCAAGCACTGATGTAGAAAATATTAATTAAAAAAAAACAACCAACAATTGAGCCACATTGTGTCCTGGTTTGGGTTCCTAGCAGATTTATTTGGTTAGAAATGGAGTTTCTCTGCAGAGGTGCTGTTGGGCTGGGGCCCTCATGGCCCTCAGTCCCCATTAGATGTCTGTCCAGGGTTGTCACTCAGCACAGCATCCCAGACTGGTTTGGGTGGGAAGGTGCAGTGGTGGTGAGGGAGGAAAGCAGCCCAGAATCCGTGGGATTGAGAAAGGAAAACTTCCATTTATTGAATACACAGTGTCACTTTTATACCCTTTTCCAAAACTACTTGTCATGATTCCATTGGATAGTCATGCTATCATGGGATAGCTCTATTTCCATGCTCCACCTTCTATCTGGTGACACACACAGAGTTCTCAGGGTTCTTCCTTATTCTCTATCTTGTCCTTGTGTTAGTTTCCTTGTTACCTTCTTACCTACCAGGCCCAGTGCTGCCTTTGTTAAGCCAACACAGAGACTGCTTGTGCTTGTGTTAGGCTACCAAACAGATTGCTTGTACAGCTGCTACTGGTGTTAAACTCTCAGGGAGACTGCAAGGACCCCTGGCCTTGCTGCTCAAGCCATTCTTCAACAATTCTCCCTTTTTCTTTTTGCACAAGCAATATCTTATCAGACAATCTTGTTACATTTTTCACAATGCAATGGTAAGCTGTCTTGACTACAACCACACTAAGCAATAGCACAGCAACCCAAAATGTCACTCCATGTTGCTATATCCATTTTCAGAGTTTGATTAGCTCTCTCCACCATGGCCTGTCCTGCAGGAGAGTGAGGCTGCAACATGTTGTACTCCCCATTGCTGGCAAAACCTTCCCATTCGCTCACTGGAATAGGCCGGGCCATTGTCTGTCTCAAGCTGCTTTGTGACCCCCATCACAGCAAAACAGTCAAGTGACAATGACATGAGAGGCTGGGCTGGAGCCCCCACAGATCTGCCAAAGGTGTCCATGGTCACACGGACATATTTCAGTCGTCCAAACTCAGGGACATGCGTGACATCCACCTGACCCCAGGGGCTCACCCAGCGCCAGAGCTGGCCCACGATGGCTGCAGGCAGGACACACCTTCACTGTTCCTCTGGCTTCTTCCATTGTGATGTTGAGCTGCCTGTGTAGACCTTGAGCATTTTGATGAAACGTCGCGTGGGCCTCTCGAGCCTTGGTGACTTCATTGATGGGCACCATCACCAACACCAACTGATCCGCCCTTGCGTTGCCTTCGCCCAGTCCTTCACTCCACTGATGACTCCTAATATGCAGAATATAGGAGCCTGTGGTTCCTTCCTTTGGGGTACAGCAGCCTGTAACTGGTGAGATCAAATAGACAAAGGTTCTGGATATCTTTAATCCTAGCACTCTCTATCCGTTGGGCAATTCCAGCCACATATAATGAGTCAGTTATCACGTTCAGTGGATCCTGTGACCAGTGCTTGAATGCCCAGACCAGTTAATTCCAGTGTATCACCAGGTTCTGCTTCCAGAATGATGTGACACCACTGGTCTTCCTTGAACCACGTTGGGATCGTTTCCCAGCAGCTGTAAAGACCGTGATGGCTTCTTTCAGGGGCTGCTCACTTGGCTTTGGTAGTGAAAGCCATTTGTGTTGGCTCATCCACTTTAACACTGATGTTTTTAGAGAGCTAATGTTGATCTCTTGGGCAACACCTAAGATGCTACGTTGTAATGCTTGTGAGTGTTGCAAATACCATTCCAAGTCTGCCCTTTTTATAGGGAGATATATTGTTCCTGGTTCTTTCCCCGACATCTGTAATACTCGGGTACTTTCTTAATCAGTTCAGCAAGATCATCCACCTGTTGTTGAATTGTTGTCTTAGGCTGTATACCAGTGAATAACCATTCCAGGACCTTAGGCTCCTTCTCCCCCTTTTTCTTTTTGCACTGTGTCAGTGCACCAACAAGGTGTGATGCTCCTAACAGGACAGTCAAGTCTATATCCAACAGCAGGTCAAGACAGTCAACTGTACAATCTGCTATAGTTGTAGCAATCTGCTTGGTCTTGTGGCCTTGTGCAGCTGTGAGTGTCACTGGCTGTGCAGGATCAGTCCCTTTCAATAATGGCTGTGAGATTTCCAGCTCATCGTTGGTAATTCCCATCACATTTGCCACTGCAAATCTCCCATGAATCTTTGGGCATCATGTAAGGTTTTGATCTCTATCTGAATGGACAGTTTCTGTGGCTGAATGTGTGATTCTGTCATAATCCATCCCAGGTATTTCCATGGAGCCTCTCACTGAATCTTGTCAGCAGCTATAACCAACCCCTGCTGTTCAAGCTGATGAGTCAAGAGCATCTCATGGTCTCGAGAAAATGGAAGTTCTTGAGCTATCAGGATGTCATCCATGTAGTGAAAAATCAAAGCTTCTGGCCAAGCTGCTCGAACAGGTTGTAATGCTGCATCAACAAATAGTTGGCACAATGTGGGACTGTTCTTCATTCCTTGAGGCAACACAACCCATTCATACCAGTTGGCTGGGGCCTCCCGGTTTATTGCAGGTACTGTAAAGGCAA